TGAATCAGTGAATAGAAAATATCTGTGTGTCTCTGTGTTTCTCTACCTCTCAAATAAAAAATGAAAATAAATAAAAAGAAAACCCAACTTGCGTGGAGCCCACTTTGCCTGCCATTCTCTTCTACGTAAACCTTTCAAGTACTTGGAGACATCTCCGCTGGTGTGTGTTCCTCGAGGTCTACTTCTGCGTTCCTTGCGCTCAGTCCCACTCCCTGGTCTTACCTGGCTTGCATCCTGTGAACAGTCAGGCCCACTTGGTAGTTATTATTATTATTATTTTTTTGACAGGCAGAGTGGACAGTGAGAAGACAGAGAGAAAGGTCTTCCTTTGCCGTTGGTTCACCCTCCAATGGCCACCGCGCTGATCCTATGGCAGGAGCCAGGTACTTATCCTGGTCTCCCATGGGGTGCAGGGCCCAAGCACTTGGGCCATCCTCCACTGCACTCCCGGGCCACAGCAGAGAGCTGGCCTGGAAGAGGGGCAACCGGGACAGAATCCGGCGCCCCGACCGGGACTAGAACCCGGTGTGCCGGCGCCGCAAGGCGGAGGATTAGCCTAGTGAGCCGCGGCACGGGCCACTTGTTAGTTCTAGTAGCTGTTCTCTGCTGACGAAGAGGGGGATAGTGCTTCCTTCTCCATCTTTCTGCTTTTCTCTGCTGCTTTCCTGCACTGGCAAAGGCTCCACGCACGACACTGAGTAGATGCCATCTGCATGCACACCCTTGGACTCTGTCCCAATCATTGAGGGAAAGCATTCAATATTTTTACCAATTTGATTGATGTTAGCTGCTGCTTTGTATACATGCATTTTATCAGATTGAAGACGCTCCCTTCTGTTCCTAATAGACTTTCTGTCGTGAATGGATGCTAACTTTCATCAAATGCTTTTTTCTGCGTCAATGAACATGTTCATATAGTTTTCTTCCTTGACACTGCTAATATGAACTACCTTTTCCCTGGAGGCAAAAACAACATAAAACTACCCAACCTGAGTTGAGAATAAGCAGGAAATAGAATTGAGGCAGCTGATTGGATGAGGACACAGCTCAGTGGCTAACACTTCCTATCCAGAAACTACCACAGGCCTGCAGTTTTCAACACTTTAACCTTTTAAATAATGAATTTTAATTAATAGACAGGTACAGGGTAATTCAGATTATCTTCATATCTCGTGGCTATTTTACTAAATGATGTTTTTCAAAGATCTTGTACATTTTAACCAAATTATTAGCATAAAATTATTCATAATATCCTTAATATCCTTTTAATGGGTAGTTTGTAATATTCCAAATATTGGTATTGGGTGCTCTTGCTGCTTTTTCTTTTGAATTTTGTTTTATTAATTTTAATTTTGTTCATCACCTCAGAGAAAAAAGCCCAATTTTTGTTTCGTCAATTCCTTGTTTGCTTGTACTGTTTCACTGATTTCTTCTCTTAGTTCCTATTTGTTACTTCGTTTCAATTAAATTTACATTTACCAGTGATTAATTTGAATCTTCAGGGCGTTGATATATTTTTTAAAAGATTTATTTGCTTTATTTGAAAGGCAGAGTTACAGGGAGGGAGAGGCAGAGGCAGAGAGAGATCTTCCACCTGCTCTTTTACTCCCCAGATGGCCACAAGGCTGGGCTGGGCTGAAGCCAGGAGACAGGAGACTCCTCGGGATCTCTCATGTGGGTGCAGACCCAATCCCTTGGGCCATCTTCTGCTGCTTTCCCAGGTGCATTAGCAGGGAGCTGGATGGAAGCAGAGCAGCCGGGACTCAAACCAGCGCCCACATGGGATGCCAGCACTGCACGTGGTGGCTTTACCAGCCACACCACAGCGCCGGCCCCAGGTCATTGATTTTTATACCTTTCTTCTTTTTTTTTTTTTTCATATAATCCACCCCTTCAATGTGAACACTTCAATGGTATTTAATATATTCATAGATGTGTATAATCACCATTAAAATCAAGTTTTGAACATTTTCTTTATCCCCAAAGAAACTCTGCAGCCGTTAGCAGTCACTCTTCATTCTGCTTAAACCACCGTTCTTCCAACAGCAGCACTGAAAGTTACACATGTCCCTCTAAGCACCATTTTAGCAGCATCCCACAAATTTTCATGTGTCACATAGCCATTAGCATTTCTTTTGAGATATTTTAAATTTGTTTTCGAGTTCATCTATCAAACATGAATTACTTATCAATATGTCGCTTCATGTCCAAATTGGGAGGCTTTTAAAAAGCAGTTTAATTTCTTTGAAGTCAGAGAACACATTCTGTAAGATTTCATTCTTCTTTACATTTATCTGGCTTGTCTTGTGGCCCACACGGTTGTCTGTCTCAGCAGAGGCACTGCATTCTTAGAAAACAATGAATTCTCAGGAGAGGTTGCACACCTGCATAATCAAGTCGGTACGGCTGGGCATGTTCAGGTTTGTTAGTCATTCAGTACATTTTCATCTGATTTTTCTGTCGGTTATTTGAAAGAGGGGTGATATAATTTGTCTTTAATCCTATTGATTTCTGCTTCATGCATTTTGAAGCTCTATTATCAGGCACATACATATTAATGATCACCATGCCTTCTGATGAATGGAAACTTAACACTACAAATGGTGCCTTTTTTCTGGGATGGGGGTGGTAATTTTTTTTTAAGTGGCAGAGTCGGGATTTTAACTCTGTTCTCTTTTTTAAAAAGATTTCTTTTTATTTATTTGAAAGGCGCAGTTATAGAGAGAGAGAGAGGGAGAGACAGAGAGAGGATTTTCCATCCACTGGCTCACTTCCCAAATGACCACAACAGTCAGGGCTGGAACCAAGAGCTTCATCTGGGCCTTCCACATGGGTGCCGGGGCCCAGGGACTTGGGCCATCTTCTTCTGGGGCTGCACCAGGCTGAAACCAGTAGCCAGGAGCTTCTTCTGGGTCCTCCGTGTGGCTGTGGGGTCCCCAGCACTTCTCCCGCTGCTTTCCCAGGCACAGTAACAGGGAGCTGGATCCAAAGTGGCCCAGTCAGGACTCAAACAGATGCCCACATGGGATGGTGGCTTTACCCAGTACGCAAAACACTGATCCCACGTGGTGATTTCTGATAATACCAAGTGAAAACTTGATAACTGGCTGCGGGTGCCTCCGGCCCGGGGCGCTTCCTGAGCGTTTGATTCAGCCACCTCTGCCCTGCCCACCACCTGCGTGCCATCTCTCCCACAACTCATGTTAAATAAACTCTACGGAAAACACAAGGAAATATTAGCACCAATGCCTTTGCTCTCCCTAGTCTTTCTTAAGAATATTTTTCTGTCTAAATTCAGGAGGGATATTGGTCTTTCCTTTTCTGTTTCTGGCATGCCTTTGTAGAATTTAGGTATTATAGCTATGCTGTTCTTAAAAAATTGGTATTATTTCATTCTTAAATGTCTGATAGCATGTACCAGTAACACAATCTGGACTTATGGTGTGTTTATGTGTGAAGATTTTTGGTAATTATTTAAAATCCTTAAATAGACAAAGCATTACTTAGATTTTCTATTTTTTATGTGTCTGTTTTGGCAAGTGAAATTTCTCAAGAATTTGTCCCTCTTATTAAGATGTCAACTCAATTGGCATAAAGTTGATTATAAGATATCCTTATTATCATTAATTATTACAGTGATTATCTCTGTTATTCTGGATTTTAGTGAATTATGAGGTTTTTGGATTGCTTTTTATGAGTTTTGCTAAGGATCTAGATATATCAATTTTTTCAAATACCCATGCCATCTACGTTAATTTAAAAAATTGTTTTCAGAGTTTTTCTGTTTTCTTTTTCATAGATCTCTTTATTAGTACTTACTTTGGTTTATTTTGCTCATCTTAAATTCTGAAGGGAGAGTCTGGATCATCTAGTTTAGCCCTTTCTCCTTTACAAACATCATTCCCTCTGAGCCCTGCACTGCTTGCTCCCTGTAAATTTGGATACATTGCATTATCATTATCATTCAGCTTGACATATTTTCTAATTTTCATGTGTTTTTCCCTCTGACTCATGGATTATTTCTACAGGCGCTGTTTCAATTCCAAATATGTAAGTCTTTTCCACATATCATCTTTTTCACTAATACGGTTTTTTTCTGATTTAAAAATCATCTTTTCATCTTGCTTGATTTGTTTCTTGCAGCTAAACTAGCAATTTGTCGTTTCCCTCCTAAAAAGTGCAATGATGTTCTTTCTTAAATATCGCACCCTCTGTCTGATTTGCTCGTCAGCCTGCTTCAAGGAGATCCACGCGCTCAACATGCTTGCTTGCAGTTCGGCCCATCCCGAATGGTTGTCGAATGCAATGTCTGCGCAGCGAACGGAGCTCACCCTGCTGGCCAAAGCGGGATCAGACGGCTGAACCTGCCGGCTGGTGGGAAAGCAGACCACACATCCTCGGTGTGGCTGTGCGGGGAGGCGGATGAGAACTGCGTGTGCAGTGTTCCCGTTCACGGTGGCTTCTGCCTGCCCCCACCACAAGCACAAGGGGACACCAGCCCCTTCATCCTCAGTTTCAATTCTCAGTGTCATCTGGTTCTCTCAAATTTCCCCAAGCCTCAAATTTCCCCAAAGCTCATTGGCTTTTGCGTAGTGACTTAGATCCCAAGGGGAGTCCATTAATATGATGACCCTGCATTCACTTTCTGATTTCAGAAGCAACTCTACTTTATCCACAGCTATTTGTCTTTCTGTTGGCTTTGAGTGCCTGGTGGCCAGACTCTCCAGGAACCATTATCAATAACACCAACAAGAACAATTTCCTTGGTAGTTAAATTAACACCACATTTGACTTCAAACAGTGTACAGTTCTGGGGCAACCAAGACTTCTGCAGCACTTCAGGAATAACCTGTGTGTTACATCTCATGATATCCACTTCAGTTTGCCCACAGCAAGCCCAATAAAGCAAAATTTTGCAGCCGTTAGCTGTTCCTTGGACCCCTGTGGTCACACAGGCATCATCCCTGGAAACACCCCCACTTCAAGTGGGCCTAACTTACATCCATCCTTGATACCAGGATTCCTTTTGAGAAAAGAAGCAGTTGCTATTCCGCAGACACAGTCAGTCGGAATCATGTCACACTGGGGTGCGATGAAAGCCAACTCCCTCCATTTTCTGGTTGAAATCAGCTGTGGTATCTGCTTCCTGTAACAACTGAAAACTACAACTGATCATTTTACTGGAGACCGCAGCTTCCCCCCAGGTAATTCTTTTGGGTTGCATGTCCTGCTGTAATCTGGTCCTTGGACTGGAGGGCTTTTCCTGGACCTGCTAAAATGTCAAAGATTCCCTTCACTCTCAGTTTTCCCTGCCAAAACTCATGACTTCAGCTGTCACCGCTATCCTGAGCAGACTGGAGGCCATGGCCACGAATGGAATAGAGGCTCTTTTTTTATAGTCTGTAGTTATTGGTCCCTAATTCATTCCTATCACAGTTAGAGAACATATTCCATACAGTTTCAATTCTTTTAAACCTATTAAGATTTTTTATGGCCCAGAATTTATGGTCTAAGTGAATATGCCTTGTGCATTCAAAAAGAATTAACATCCTATAGCTGTTGAGTATAGTGATGTATAGATTTTTATTAGGTCAAGGTGGTTGATGATTTTTTTCAGATCATCCATGACTTTACTGGTTTTTTTTTTTTTTTTTTTTTTTTTGATTGGTTGTTCTATTGCTTATTTAGGAAGGGGCATTAAAAGTCTCTACCTAGGGCCGGCGCCGCGGCTCACTAGGCTAATCCTCCGCCTTGCAATGCCGGCACCCCAGGTTCTAGTCCCGGTTGGGGCGCCGGATTCTGTCCCGGTTGCCCCTCTTCCAGGCCAGCTCTCTGCTGTGGCCAGGGAGTGCAGTGGAGGATGGCTGCACCCACATGGGAGACCAGGAGAAGCACCTGGCTCCTGGCTTCGGATCAGCGCGGTGCGCCGGCCACAGCACGCAGGCCGCGGTGGCCATTGGAGGGTGAACCAACGGCAAAAAGGAAGACCTTTCTGTTTCTCTCTCTCACTGTCCACTCTGCCTGTCAAAAAAAAAAAAAAAAAAAAAAAAAGTCTTTACCTAAAGGGTGGGTGTTTAGGCTAGTGGTTGAGACAAAACTTAAAACACTGGCGTACCAGATCAGCATGCCTGGGTTTGATACTTGGCTCCTGCCTCCAGCTTCCTGCTGATGTTGACCTTGGGGGGAAAGAGTGAAAGCTCAAGTTGCTGAGTCCTTGCCACCATGGGGGAGTCCAGTTGCACTTCAGGCTCCCAGCGTCATCGCAGTCTAGTCATAGCTGCTGCAGACATTTGGAGAGTGAACTAGTAGATGGGAGCTCTCTTTCTCTGTGTGTGTCTGTGCATTTTTCTGCCTCTCAAATAATTTTTTTAAAAAAACTCTACCTCTGAAAATACTGACAGACAAAAAAAATTTTAAAAATCCACAAAAACAAAACAACCTACAGTTTGAAGACATAAGGCAAGCGACAGACAAGGTCTAGAAATGGCAGAGATATTGGAATTGTCACATCAGGAATGTAAAACAACTATGGAGGAAGACATTTGGTGGAGTGGTTGAGATTCCACTTGGGACACCATATATATCGAAGTGCCTGGGGCAGAGCCCCAGTTCAGCTTCCAGTTTCCTGTTACTCCTCACTCTGGGAGGCAGCAGGTAATGGCTCGAGTGCTTGGGCCCCTGCCATTCACCATGGAGACCCAGATCGACTTCTGGGCTCTGACTTCCACTGATCCAGCTCTAGCTGTGGCAGGCATTTGGGGAGTGAACCAGTAGATAGTCCTATGTCTCTATCTCACTGCCTTTCAAATAAAATAAAAAATAAAACAACTATGATTACAAGGTGAAGCATTCTAATGGAAAAAGTAAACAACATGCCAAGAATTGAAGGGAAATGCAGGCAGAAATATGGAAACTTTAAGAAAAAATATCAAGCAGAAATGCTAGGAACCAAAAACACTAGCCAAGATGATGTAGGCCTTTGAGGCTGGACACAGCAAAGCAGAGATGCACTGAGATGCACTGAGCCTGCGGAAATGTGAATGGAAACATCCAAACCCAAAATGCAAAGAGAAAACGGAATGAAAAGGACAGACAAAACGTTCAAGGACTGTGTGACGATCTGAAAGGGGGTAGCATGTACTGAGAATTCCAAAAGGGGAAGAAAAAAAGAAATGAACAGAATAAACATTTGAAGCAATAATGACTGAGTATTTCTCAAAATGAATGACAGACACAAGGCACAGATCTGGGAAACTGCAAATATCATGCAGGAGAAATATTTTAAATACCAGGGGCAGAGGGAAGAGCACTCTGTCCATTGTTCGCGCCCCAAATTGTCACAGTGGGGCTGGGCCAGGCAGCAGCCAGGAGCCCAGAACTCCATCCCGGTCTCCCTTGTGGCTGGTAGAGGCCCAAGTACTTGGGTCATTTTCTGTTGCTTTCCCAGATGCATTACAAGGGAGCTGGATCAGACATGGAGCGGCTGGGACATGAACCGGTGCTCTGACGTGGGACACCTGAGTCACAGGTTGTGGCTTAACCCATTGCTACAATGCCTGCTCAATGCAAGAGAGATTTTTAAAGTATACCCACACATAGTTATTTAATATTTGAGCTGCAGAAAACCAAAGAAAAAGAATATAACTTAAAAGAAGATTGCAGGAGAAAAAAAAAATCTTACCAATAAAGGAGCAAGGAAAAGAATGATGTCAGGCTTTTGTTCACAAAGCACGCAGGCAAGAGAGTGAAATAAAATGTTTAAAGTGTGGAAGAAGACAACATAGCACTTAAAATGTAGTATCCATCAAATTATTGTACAAAAGTGAAGGAGGAATAAAGTGTTTCTCAGACAAAGGGAAACCAAGGGAACTTGTTGCTAGTAGCCCTGCCTTGCAAGAAATATTAGAGAAAAAAAAATACTGAGGAAAATCATACAGATCCGGACATGTGTTATCGTGCAGTGTGTTAAGCTGAGGCTTGGGGTGCTGATGTACCCCACATGGAGTGCCGGTTTGAGTCTTGGCCAATCTGCTCCACATCCAGCTTCCAACTAATGCGTCCCAGGAGGCAGCAGATAATGATTCCAGTGCTTGGGCACCCCGCCATGTGGGAGTTCCCTAACCCTAACCCTAACCCGTCTACAGCCTAGCCCAGCCTTGTCTGTTGTGGCCATTTGGAGAATGGACGGAAGGATGGAAGATTCTTTCTCTCTCTGGCTCCCTCTTTCTCTGCTTTTCAAGTAGATGAAAACAAAGAAACATTCAAAAATAAAAATGATATATATCAGAACATTGGATCTATAAAAAAATAAAGGAAGAGTGTTGATGCAATAAACGAGGGTAAAATAAAATCTTTTATTTGTTCTCATTTGATTTAGCGGAAAATAGCTTATTCAAATTAATACTTACAGGCTCCTGACTTTGGCCTGGCCCAACATTGGCCATTGTGAATATCTGGGGAGTGAACCAGTGGATGGAAGATTCTCTCTCTATGTCTCTCCCTCTTCTCTGTAATTCTTTCAAAATAAATAAATACTTTAAAATAAATAAGTAAAAGAGATCATCAGAGAGGATAATAAAATAAGATTCTGCTATATGGTATCTGGATTAACAAAAACAAAGTTAGATAAAACAGATTAGAAGTAAATAAGTAGAGAGAGATACACTATGCTAACATCAATACTATAAGCAGATATATCAGTGTCTGAAATAATCATTCCAGAAAGGTGGGTTAGCTGTAAAAATTTCAGACAAAGCAGATTTCATTATCAGGGATAAAGATTACATGATGATAAAAAGGTCAATGAATTGAATCAATAACTAATAACCATCCAAGAAAGGGAGCATCAGGATAGGAGTCACTGGTGAATTCTACCAAACATCTAAGAAAGACACAAGGGGTGTAGGAAGGGCATTTGGTGCAATGGTTCAGACTCAACTTGGGACACTTACATTCCAGATTTGAGTCCCAGCTCTGCTTCTGACTCCAGCTTCCTGCTAATGCACACCTGGGAGGCAGCAGGTGATGGCTCAAGTACTGGGGCCCCTGTCACTCATATGGGAGAAACAGATTAAATTTCAGGCTCCTGGGCTTTAGCCTGGCTCAATCCTGGCTGCAGGACATTTGGGGAGTAAACCGGCACATGCAAGATATCTCTCTCATTGTCTCTCTGCTTTTCAAATAAATAAAAATTAACAAATAAATGAAAACATTTTAAAAAGAAATAAATTATTACAATTCTTTTCACTCTCTCCCAGAAAATAGAAGCAGAAAAAAATGCTACCTGATTCTATGAGGCCAGGATCACCCTAATACCAAAACCACAAAAAGATATAAGAAAGGAAAATTATAAACAATGTATCAGGACCAGTGCTGCGGCACAGTGAGATAAACCACTGACTTCAGGGCTAATATCCCATATGGGTGCCAGTTTGCTTCCCAGATGCTCCACTTCTGATCTAGCTCCCTGCTAATGTGCCTGGGAAAGCAGCAGAAGATGGTCCAAGTTCTTAGGCCCCTGTACCCATGTGAGAGACTCCTGGCTCCTGGCTTCAGTGTGGCCCAGCCCTAGCTGTTGTGGCCATTTGGGGAGTGACCCAACAGATGGAAGACCTCTCTTTTCTCCTCTTCCCCCCCCCCTCACATCCCTTCCACTTCTCTCTCTCTCTCTCTCTCTGTCTCTCCTTCTTTCGCTCTGTAACTGGGCTTTTCAAATACATAAAATAAATATTTTTAAAAATAAATAAAACTCTTACCAAAGTAGGATGAGTGGAGTTTCCTCAATGAAAATTTTACTGCTAACATAAGAATTCGTGGTGAGACTAAATGCTTTCCCACTAAAATCAGGAATAATGTAAGAATGTCTGCTCAGACTATTTCCAGCCAACATGGTACTTGAAGTTGTAGCTATTGCAATAAGATATGAAAAGTAAGTGAAAGTAAGTAGACTTGGAAGAAAGAAATAAAATTGTCTTTGTTTACAAGTGAAAAGATCACCTATGTAGAAAATCCCAAAGAATAAAAAATAGCAATGAAACTCCTTTAACCAACATGCAGCTATAACAAGGATGCATGACACAAGGCTTATCTACAGATTCTACTGTTTTTTCACATGCAAACAATGCACAAGTAGAACCTGAATTAAAAACACAATAC